TACTTACTACATGTACCAAGTAATCAGATATTTAATTACATACTATTTGGCATTGCTCACTACTGTTTCATGTATGTCAGTTTTGTTTTCTTCAACTAATCTTTAAGTTCCATTTGGGCAGGGACTACATCTCAAATATCTGTACACAGTACCTGAGTCTTAATATTTTTATAAGAGTTGTACCTATAATGTGTCAGATACTGGACCAATCACTTTACAAACTTTTTTTTCCATTTAATTTTCACAATAAAAGTGCTATTTTTCCCATTTAACTAATAGGAAACTGAGGTCCCAAGATCTTAAGGAACCTCTCAGCATCATATAACAATCCACTCCTAAAGCCACAGTTTAAACTCTATACTGTCTAGACTTCAATCCATTCGACCAGGTTGTTTCTTTGTGAAAACACCTAGAAGGTGAAAGGGCAGCTATTTGATCCCATTTTACAGATAAGGAAACAGAGGTGAGAAATGGGAAGGGAGTATCCCAAATTCCCACAGTTGGTAACACCAACCTAAATATTCAGATGCCAAGTCCAATGCATACCACAGGATGCTTAAATAAATATCTGACCTGTTAATTATCATATTAATAGATATCTTCTCTTATTGAATTTCTAATCACTCATTTGTTAAATTATATAAAAATACTACCTCAGGATTCAAGTTTTAGGATTATAGTACCAAGAATACTTATGGGTATCCTTTAATTGCACTTATTGCTTTCAACCTATTATTTATAACTAAACTTCTTTGTGAAGTTAGTTAGAATTAGATACCATTCTGATAAATTTTTTTGATTTATTTCTGTAATCCCCACAGTGCCTATAACAATGTCCAGCATATGCTAAGTGTTCAATACATATTTTTTGAATGATTGAATTATAACATTTGTTCTTTACATTTTGATGTTTCAAAATTTTTTCTTTTTTTCTTTTTTTTTTTTTTTTGAGACAGAGTCTCACTGTCTTGCCCGGGCTAGAGTGCCATGGCATCATCCTAGCTCACAGCAACCTCAAACTCCTGGGCTCAAGCGATCCTCCTGCCTCAGCCTCCCGAGTAGCTGGGACTACAGGCATGTGCCACCATGCCCAGCTAGTTTTTTCTATATATTTTTAGTTGTCCGATTAATTTCTTTCTATTTTTAGTAGAGACAGGGTCTCGCTCTTGCTCAGGCTGGTTTCGAACTCCTGAGCTCAAATGATCCGCCCGTCTCAGCCTCCCAGAGAGCTAGGATTACAGGCGTGAGCCACCGTGCCTGGCCCCAAAAATTTTTTCTTGAGAGCATGTAAGTTACTAAAAGACAAGTTAATCTTTCACCAATATTTGTAGCCCAACAATGTTTATGTGATAAATGCTCAATTTTTATTGACTTGAACCAGATTGACTTGATAAATAACCCCACCATTCAAAAATGTGTTTATGTGAAACTTCACCTGAATAAAGAAATAACACAGTACATTTTAGAATACTTTTCTTATACAGAAATGAATGCGTTTTGGCTTCTGGTTCCCTACAGATAGATCCTTTCCTTCCTTGAACACCTGTAATACTAATTCACCAAACCACTGATTTAGCATTTAGCCTGTATTATCGTATACTATTAGTAGATTTTACATCTATATCTTTCTTCCTCAAGCATAATGTAAGCCCCAGAATTGGGACTACAGTTATTACCTAAAGAAGCACGGTGCAGTAAAAAGAGCATGAGTTTTGGTGTTAGACAAAAGTGGGTTCAAATCCTAGTTCTGCCATTTATCAGCTATGTGACTTAGAAAGTATTCATTTCATCTCTCTCAACCTAAGTTTCATTGTCTATAAAACAGAGAAAATACCTATCTTGCAGGGTTATTGTAAGGATTATAAGTAATATGTATCAACTGCTAGCACACAGTATACATTCAATAAATATATAAATAAAACTTCTATCATAAAACCTCTTTGACTCCTCAATAATTAACAATGCCCATAGATGCTAGGTACACAATAACACCTACTGCTGACAATATAACCACATGCTTTAGGTTTGCAGGTGAAATGATAAGACAAACACATACCTGTTAGATAAGAGGTAAATTGCTTTGGACCACAGCGAATAGCATAACGTGTAGTTGTTCTCACAGCTTTTGGTTCAGTCTGCAATGCATCCCTGGGACAAAAGAGGGTTCCATCTGATGTTTCTCCCCACCATCTCACTCGGATAAGTACACAAGTTGGAGGCTTTGCAATCTTCCATATAACTTTATTAACAGTAAGTTTTAGAAAGCAGCGTAGCTGGCCTTCAACCAAAGGTGGCAGGCTTGTAGATGGAGAAATGTCACTCAAACCTGCGGAGGAATCCAAGAACATTAAGTCAAAATTTAGACTAAGTATAGAAAACATATAATCTGCTTTTTGAATGAAAACAAACAAAACACTTTAGTCTCTAGTCTAGAAAAAAGGCTGATTCTACCTATTCTAATACATGAGAAGTAACTAGCATGCCAGACCAGAGAATAACTTACTTGGTCACATAAGCCACCCTGATAACTAATTTATCAATTAGTTATTACCCTGATAACTAATTTATCAGGTTTCTCCTACACAGTCTAATGGTTAGGAAAAAAACAACAACAATAAAAACAAAATAGTATTTAGGGTTTGATTCAGGTTATTCTAAGTAAAGAACATATCTACTAAGACATGCTAATATAAACTTTTCTTTAATTGAGATACTATTTGAAAAATACACATATAATGATCCAAGTAGGTTTTTAAAATCTCAATAGTTGAAATTTTTCTAAGTACTGTTGTTTTGATTATTGCAGTATCCTGTTTTTAAGATATCTTTACCTCTCTTATTTTAAAACCATCAATAAACATAAAACATCAACAACTTTCAATCAACTCAGAAGCAATTTAATCTATATCACACAACTCAGCATTTCAATGAAGAGCATCTTAAATTATCTATGTCTTTTCTTTCCTGCCAAGATCACACAGTCTATGAGGACAGAGATTATCACCTTCAGATTCTGTCACTATTTTTTAAGCACAGTGCTGGGTTCGTAATGTTTATTGGCTTTAATATTTATTGGTTTTCAGAAAGATGATAAATAAAAATGTAAACAAGGCAATTAATCATGACTTTCTATAAAATTTTCCTTTAATGATCCTGGTTGTCTTCCATTCCCAACACCTTTTCACCAAGACTTTGAGGAGATTGAAGAAACCATTCCTACATTATATACACCTTTCTATTCTTCCAACTTTTCTCTTTGGGAACTCATCATGCCTTACAAGAAGAAAATATACTGGAATCTCTCAGATCAGGAATCTATACAACTAAATTCTTTGGACTTCTAAGGCAAACACCCTCTCTGCTCTCTATAGTGGAGAAAAGACCTATCATAATCTTTACGGAAAGTTTCAATATAAAAATTATACACAGTTGTGTACATAAGCTTTACTGCATATGCACATGGTATAGCAAGAAGGACATTCTTTTTCTATAGTATGTTATTTCTACTTTGACTTTCTTCCTATCAACCAAATATGCTTGACTGGTTTGACACCGGAAGCACCAGCACTGAACCCCTCATCATTCAGTCTCAGATCCTTCCATCATTCTTGGCAGGAAAGTCACTGCCTCAAAGATGCCTTAGTGATCTTTAAACAGCTTGGATAAGATTCATTCCCAGACTGTAGCTTCAGTCGTCAACCCAATGGCCTAATATACTATACTGTTCCCAATACCTCTTTCCTCACTAAAATGCCCATAATGTGAAAAGAAAAGGTCACCAATGTCCTTTTTTTTCCCCTTGGAAGCAGACTTGTAGAGATTCAATTTCCAGTTTCCTGATCTGTCCTGGGTTCCTAGGGTGACTGTTCTCACTGCAGCTAACATTCCCTACTTTTTTGGCGAGCTTGTGTCTCCTTGAGCTACTACTAATCTGATGAAGTCCTCTTGCTACTACACACGCTCTCATCATCTCAGGTCCTTCAGGAGATCCTCATGCCCTACCCCCACTCCAATTCTATTACACTCTTGTCATTCTCCGCTCTTTCCCCCTCTATTCTCCACGACTATCTTTTCCAACTCCTGCTCATAGTTCTTCATGCTTGCTTCATTCGCCTATTATTTACCGAGTCTTGCTTTGTGGCAGGTAGTCCTTGGGGATTCAGTGAAGTATAAAATGTGATCCTTGCCCATTAGGATCATTGGCATAACCCATTCTCCAACTGATGTTTCTTCCTGCTCCCCGTGGACCTCGGACCTCGAAAGCTACACATACACATTTAACGTTGTTATAAAAAACACTCCTATTATTTTTTCGTTCTTTTCCTCTACAATTGTCCTACCTCTAACCCTCATTCCACCTCATTTATCGCCCCTTTGTGCACCCCACCCCGACCTCTACTTCCTTTCAATTCTTGGGAGGGCCAACCACCCTCCCTTTCAGCCTTCCTGGTTATTTCCCTCTTCCGTCCCTTTTCTTTTCTTTTTCTGTTTTTTTTAACGGGCCGTTGGGGGAATCTCCCTAGAATTCCTTACACCCTGCTCCCCTATTACGCCCGCCCTATTACGCTTTCCTCAACCTTTGATCAGGTTACCTCTCTTCCTGCGCCCACGGACGCCCCCAGGGCCCTGGCCTCTTCGTTGTTTCATGACTAGCCGAAACTCTTCTTCACCAACTCGACTCCAGCCACAGCACTTAAGCCGTATCCTCCCGCCATCCCTTCGCACGACACCTGCGTTCCCCGGCAACTGGCGCCGCTGGGCAGCCTGGGAACCAGGGGGAAGCGGTTCTTTCTCTAACAGTCTCTGGGAAGCAGTACGAAGGGAAGGCGCCAAGGCGCCTTCCCGCCAATAAACTACAACATCCAGGATGCTTTGCTACACTACCTCTGCGAGGTTGGCCGGAGGTACCGCCAGCTGCGCAAGCGCAAAGGGATACGCCCGTTGAGGACTCCATTGCCCAGGATGCATTGCCTTTAGGAGCGCTCCTCTTTCCGGCGAGGGTCGTCGCGTTCTCTGGTGGGAGTCTAAAGGGTTCGCAGACTCCGTTACCCAGATTCCTTTGTGGCTGAGGTGTTGCGTACTTCCGGTGGAAGCACCGAATCGAGGGGGTGGAGTTTACGGCGCCGGTGGGCGGTAGGCGGTGCTGCCGGTAGCTGGGCGCAGTCCAAAGGCGATAGGGCGTCTTTAAGAGAGCGAGCCGCGACCTGTTGGGCCGCACTGAGCGTGGGAGGAAGCTTCGGCTACTGTTTGACTACGTCCGGCCTCCCTTTGATGTCGGCCCTCGAAAAGAGCATGCACCTCGGCCGCCTGCCCTCTCGCCCTCCTCTGCCCGGCAGCGGGGGCAGTCAGAGTGGAGCCAAGATGCGAATGGGGTACGTGACCCGTACCCCTTCTCTCTAGAGGCCAGGCCCCGGCCATTAGAGAATGGTGTCTCTGGGCGTTTAGAGCGGCATGGGAAGGGAGGCTACGGATGGGAGAAAACGTTGACGGCGGCCTGGAGACGTTTAGATGTAGTAGAAGGCAGATTTGGGGATGGGGAGGCGCCAAGTCAATGGAAATTGGAGGACAAATAACATTGTTGAAGGGAGAAGGGAATAAGGCAAATATTGGAGAAGCTGAGAGACTAATATAAGGAATGTGGGAGGTTTGAGGAAAGGGAGTAGAACGGTGACAAAGGTGGGGGTGAAATCTACCAGGGAGGGTTGAGGGACGTGGGGAATGACTGAGAGAAAAGTTGAGGGGAATTGGAGGAACAGCTAAGGAAAGGTTTGGGAGAAATGAGAAGACTGTCAGAGCTAGATATTAAAAAAGTTGAGTGGGGAGTAGAGAATAGCTGAGGCAGGGTTGGTAGGAGAGAGAACTAGGGAGCAGAAGGTTCTAGAGAGTTCCCAGAGGTGAAAGACAGATTCAAGGAGTGAGGGGAGAACTGAGAAAAGCTTAGGGAGTAGGCCTAAGGAAAGGTGGCAGAACATAGGGTAACAGGAATGTGCTGAGAAGCTGGGGGGAATGAGGGAGAGGGGTTGAGGAGTTTAGAGAGTGACCCATTGGCTCTAGAGACTGAGAAATAACTAGAATTAGGGTTTGGTGAATAGAAGTGCTGCAGAGGTAAGGTCTGGGAAGCTTAAAAGGGAAGATTTGGTCACTTGATTTCTCCTGGGCAAATAGGTCTGAGGGAAGCTATGTACTGATCTAAGACTAAAAATTAGTGAAGCATTGGGAGTAGCCATTTAAAATGTTTTGGGGAAAGCAATTTGCTGGAAAGAGAGGCGAGCTGTGTTGAAGAGGTAGGCTTTGGAATTTTAGGTCGTTGAATGGCCTGTGGAAATAATTAATTTGTGTTGTGTGTCTTATTCCTTTGCAAATACTCTGGGATTCAGTCTTTCTTTTTCCTCAGTGAGTCCTATTTTATAAAGTCTCAGTTCCACCAGTTTCAAGGCATCCTTTCTTTCTCTTTTTGTCACTTGCTTTTTTCTTACCTTCTTTCCTTCTTCCACTCCCTTATCTATCTCTTACTCTCAAGTTGGGACTGTTTCCTTGCCAGTCTCTTTTGTGACTTGCTCTTTCAACTATTTTTCATCATCTCTTGACTTCAGTTCCACTAAACCTTATGAAGTGTGTTTGCATATTCAGGGTGCACATTCAGAGCTTGTGATTTTTCTTGAGTTTCCATAATACGGTTTTTCAGATTGGACTTAGTAATTCTAAAGTATTGCTGGATAACGTAATAACAGCAATTACTTTTTTTAAAGTAAGCACTATGAGGCCTGGCACAATAGCTCACACCTGTAATCCCAGCACTTTGGGAAGCTGAGGCAGGTGGATCGCTTGAGACCAGGAGTTCAAGACCAGCCTAAGCAACATAGCAAGACCCCATCTCTTCAAAAATATAAAAAAATTAGTCAGCCTATAGTCCTGTTACTCGGGATGCTGAGGCTGGAGGATTGCTTGAGCCCAGGAGTTTGAGGCTGCAGTGAGCAATGATCATAAGTTTTCTTCTGGGCACAGTGTAGATAAAATAAAATAATAAAAAAAAAAGTACTATGTGCCAGGCAGTGTAGTAGTAAGTTTACAAACGTTATTTTACTTTATGTGCCCACAAACCTGCAAAGTAGATATTTCCTTGCATATATATGCAAAGAAATTCATAGTCAAAGATTAAAGGTCACCCAACTAGCATGTGACAGAACAAGGATTCAATCTAGGTTTAGTCTCTAGAATCCATTCCCTTTTCCGTAGACCAATACTTTCTTTTGGGTAAGACCTGAAATCTGATGTCTTTGTTCCTTTTAATATATTGCCAGTGGATGATGCCAAAAACATAGTGGTTTTGAACTTTTTTATTAAAGCTTTTGGAGGTATTCTTATTAAAGTAGATTTGGGATCCCTACTTGCTTTGCATCCCTGATGTGCTTGACAGAAGCATCATTTGAAAATCACTGCTTTAGTGCATACCATTACCATTAGAGAGTCTGAAAATGTTTTTAGTTTATTAATCATACTATTTTTATTTTTAAGAGTCAGAGTCTCGCTATCTTGCCCAGGCTGGAGTGCAGTGGCTATTCACAGGTGCAATCATCACCCTCTACTGTCTGGAAATCCTGGGCTCAAGTGATCCTCCTACTTTAGCCTCCCAAGTACCTCAGACTAAAGGTGCATACCACCGTGCCCTGCACTACAGTGCTTTAACTGACATGTATATGTTAGTTCCTTTTTGTGTTCCATGAGGTAAACTAGGACAAGAGTTAATATTTTCTTTTAACAACTGAGAAAACTCAAATGTTCATTGACTTGCCTGAGATCACAGATGATTAAGTGACAGAAACATCATTCAGACCCAGAACTTCGTATTTTTAGTTTGTTCTCATTCTTATTATACTTTGGATCAAAGAGTTTGTTGCTTGAAGTGACATAGATTGGAGTTTGAGGTCTGGCTTGAGTATTTACATTGATTAGGTTATTTAACCTCTCATAGTCTATTTTCTTATCTCTAAAATGAGGATATCTCTGCTTACCTTAGAGTGCTGTGAGAATAAGATAATACATGAAAAGCACTTACGGTTCCTGACACATAAGCTTTTAAGGTATGATAGCTAGTAGATTATTGTATATTGAGAACTGTGAGAATGGTTCATACTTTATAAAGTAGAAGCTCTTCTTTCAATTTCTTATAATGTCAGCTTTTTTTCCTCTCAAGCTGTATGTTTATTCATATCTGATTGGATAGTCTTTCATCCATCTTAAATTTATTATGGATATCATGCCCTTTACGAAGGCTTTAATGAGCTATTCACACAGATGGAGAAATAAAGGACAAAGTGAAGTGATTTGCTCAAGGTCACAGATTGAGTTACTAAAAGAATCAAATCCCAGTATTTCAGTATCTGGGATTTTTTTAAAATTAATTTTTTAAATATTAAGTTATAATTCGTATACCATAGAAATCATGCTTTTAAAATGTACAAGTCAGTGGTGTTTAGTATATTCACCAGGTTGTACAGTTATCACCAGTAATTCCGGAAGATTTTTTATCATGCCATAAAGAAATTCCTTACCCATTAGCAATCATTATCCCTTATACCTAGCATATATTGCTTCTTGGTTTTTAGACACTGACCTTTTTTGAGGTTATAAAGGAATTCATGTTTGTTTTTCCAGTACCCGTATTTTTGGTTTTTTTTTTTTTTTTTACATCTGTTTAAAGTTTATCTTGATATGCAAAGTGAGAAGCACATCAAATTTTATCTTTATCCATAGGCCATTTACTAAAAATCCTTTTCCCATTGTGTGAATTTCACTTGAATAAAATAATAGTCCTTTTCCTCACTGACTAAAATGACATCTTTGTCATATACTGAATTTCCAAATAGATTTTGGTCTATTTATGGAATTTTCTTTTTCCATTGGCCTTTTTATTCATGTGCTACTACTACACTTTTAATTAGAGAGGCTTTATTAATATGTTTTAATAGATGATAAAGGTAGCTTCTCCATCATTCTTTTTTGGGATTTCCCTGGCTCCTCTTATTTGTTTATTCTCACAAATAAACTTTCTAATCGACTAGTATTGTGAAAAAACCCCGATAGTATTTTTGAGATTACATTAAATATATAAATTAGTTTAGAAATAAATATTTTTTTATGATGTTGAGTGTTCCTTGAAGAAATGTGGTACCTTTTAATTTGTATGAATCCCTTTTAAAGGAAAAATATTTCAGACCACCAATATTGACATAAATTATGTTATCTAAGCACCTGTAATCTTTTTGTCATTTCCACTCACTTGTCAGTTTTTGTGCATTACTACTTGGCATTGCATTTTTTCCTAGTTATGTCAAAGTTATCTTTGGTAATTTTATGAAAATTTATTTTGTGTTTCCCCAATAAAATATTTCAGCTCCTGGAGTGCAGTGGCCTTTGTTTATATTTCTTTGTGCCTTCTATAGTAGCACAGTTAAATAAATGTTTTTATAAAATTTAATGTAACGGACATGTGGCATACAACATTCATTTAAAATGAGATCTTGAAGTTTTTCCAGTGAGTCCAGCCTGCACTGATCTTCTATTTCTGTCCTTTTGTGGCATCCATCATTTATACCAGGGATCAGCAAACTTTTTCTGTAAAGGACCAGATAGTATTTTAGGCTTTGTGGTCCATGTAGTCTCTGTTGCAGCTACTTAACTCTGCCGTTGTAGGGTGAAAGCAGCCACAGACAGTATGTAAATGAATGTGACTGCATTCCAACAACACTTTATTTGTAGACACTGAAATTTGAATTTCATATAATTTTCATGGCATTAAATAGTCTCCCCCTCCCCTTTTAAAAATGTAAAAATCATTATCAGTTCATGGGCCATAAAAAAATAGATAATGGGCTGGATTTGCCCATAGGCCATAGTTTGCCAACTCAATATGAGTACAATTAGTTCTATACTTCTACGGTCTTGTAGAAGAAAGAAGATAGATTTGAAAATCAGCAAACTAGGATTCTCTTCCTGGCTTCACTACTTACCACTTAATTGGTATGAGCTTGACTTTATTCCCTTAAAATGTGGGTAATTGTAGCTTCACAGAGTGTTTGTGAAAATGAGATGGTATATGTGTGGGATTATTTAAATTGTTAATGGGAACTTATTTACTGTATTTCATTAATTCTAAGATACTTTTTCATTTTTAAAATGATAGTGTCTTGATGCTGTTACCTAGTCAGGTAACAGTCTTAATTTGGTTCTCATTGCCTGTACATGAGTAAACACCAAAACCAGGGTCAAAATTTGCAAAATATATAGGTGTCGATAACTTGGAAGAAAATCTTGGCGACAAAAGTGGAACACTCTTGTAACTGCTAAGAACTGAATGGTCGTGAGGAGGCGT